GGATTTTATTGAAGCCTCTTTGGACAGGGAGAGCTTTGATAAAACTCAAATTGTGGGGGGGCAGTGCTGTGGTGTAGTGGGTAAAGCCACCGCCTGCAGTGCCAGCATCCTATATGGGCACCAGTTCATGTCCTGGCTACTCCACTTCGGATCCAGCTCTCTGTTATGGCCTGGGAAAGCAGTGGAAAATGGCCCAAGTGTTTGGTCCCCTGTACCTGCACGGGAGACCTGGAGGAAACTTCTGGCTCCTGGCTTCAGATCAGCCCAGCTCCAGCTGTTGTGGTCACTTGGGGGAGTGAACCAGCAGATGGAAGACCTTTCTCTGTCTGTCTCTCTGTCTATAACACTACCTTTCAAATGAATAAATCTTTAAAAAAAAAACTCAAATTGTCGGGCAGATAATCAGGCATGAGTGACTGGGGATGGGCCACACAACCCTCAACCAGGGGTGAAATCAAGGACCCTGTTCTCTGTAGGGATCTACCCAAGACTGCCCACTTGGTGGTTTACCTTGTGGTTAAGGTGTTCTGATAATACGAGAACTCAGACAAACCAGAGAAGTCTAGTATGGCACGTGTGCAGTGAGGCCCAGTTTGACACTGGGCATTGCGGTTATGCTCCAGGTACTCCCTACCCACCCACCTCCGTGAGCATCGCTGATGCATGCTGTGAAACACAGGCACAGAGAGCTGCAGAGCTCAAGGTATGTAATCCCCAGATGTAAATGAAAGACGCCAATTACGGGCATCAAAGCTGCATCACCAGTCACCACTCACACTTTAGGGATAAAGCCCCAAACCAGGGAAAAAAATTGCCATGTTTCTTCTCAACTGGTCCATTTGTCCCTTGGAATGTACTTTATTTATGTATGTATTTATTTAGTTAGTTAGTTAGTTTTCAAGATGTATTTTATTTGAAATGCAGAGTTACAGAGAGAGGGGAGAGGCAGAGAGACAGAGATTGTTCATCTGTTGGTTTACTCTCTAAATGGATGTAATGGCCAGGAATGGACCAGGACAAAACCAAGAGCCTAGAATTCAATCCAGGTCTCCCACATGGGCAGCATCTTCCACTGCTTTCCTAGGCACATTAGCAGGGAACTAGATTAGAAGCTGAGCAGCTAGGTCTCGAACCAGTGCTCAGACGAGATGCTGTTGTCTCAGGAAGTGCCTTAACCAGCTGTGCCACAGTGCTGGCCCCAGGAATATACTTGAATAAACTTTGCTTTACTATCTCTAGTTTCATCTCTCCAAACTGTAATTCATTATTCTGTTGGGGAAAAAGAACTGAGGTAAGCCACCTGTGGCTTAAAATACAAGATAGTTTTAGAAACACAATCTTCCTTAAGATTTTCAATTTCAAATTCTCATCTCTATTGAAGGCAATAACATCCATGGTTCAATTCAGTGAAATTTACAACAATGATGATGAAATTTGCAAGTTACTATCCACCCTGGGATCCTGAATCAATTTCCAGAAAAAGAGAAGGTGTAAAAAAGCCCCAGGATAAACTAGGTGTCGCTCCCCCTCTTCGTGGAGGAACGACACAGGACCCTGCGCTGTTCTTTCGTCTGCTCGGCCCTCCCCGGGTTTGCTGCTGGTTCTTCCCGGGTTGGCTACTATCCCTTCCACCTCCGTGGAAGGGCAGTTCCCCCTGGCCGCATTCCCCACTTCCGCAGGGGAGCGGCACACCGCCGGCCGGCTTTCTCGGGGGCTGCACGGGTTCCCTTAGATGTTCCCCATAGATGTTCCCTGGTGCATGCCGTCTCTCTCCTCCTTTATAGTCCTCCTCCGCCAATCCCAACTCGGCTGCCCACACGCCGAGTACGCTGCTCTCCTCCAATCAGTAGCAAGTCCTACAGTTTATTAGTTGAACTGGAGGCAGCTGTGCGGAAGCTGTTTACTTCTCTCCCAGCGCCATATTGTGGGAGAGCAGATGCATAGAATAAGTCTTAATTCCAGTAACTCAGTCTAGTCCGGTTGCTCCCCACAGATCCCCCTTTCTTTTTATTTTTTGGCGTTGATACACGCCTGTCTTCGGTGTCCCGCGGCACACACTCTGCTCTACTTGCTAGAGTTGCCACAGGTTCTTAAAAGTCCTATCAATCAGGCAAACCGAATCCGGGTCCTCTCTTCGCCATGTTGTGAGGAGGTTTTTAGGCGCTGATGCGTGCCTGTGTTCGGTGACCTGCGGCGCATGCTCTGCTCTGCCTGCAGGGGCTTACAAGCCCTAACAATCAGGCAAACCGAATCCAAGCCTTCTCATTGTTGTATTGTGGGGAGGCCTTTCTGATGTTAATTCGTGCCTGTCTTCGGTGACCTGCGGCGCATAAGCTGCTAGCCGCTGCAGGTGCTCATCGCCTCACTTAATCGGGCAGACCGAATCCAAACCTTCTAATTGCCATGTTGAGGGGAGGCCTTTCTATTTCTCTATTTCTCTATCTCCGGGCATTCCTATTTCTCCCATTTTACTTATGTCTGCCAACATTCCCATTTCTCTCATTTTACTTCTAAACTTTTGTTTCTCTTATCCCCGCAGCTTCCCGCTGCCCGCCCCGAGGCTGCTTCTCGGCGGCTTCCCGGCTGAGCCGCTTCAGCCCGCGCCTCTCTCATCTGCGCAGCTTCCCGGCTTTGCGCGGCTTGGCTTCGCGCGCTCCGCGGTCTCCACGCCCTTCGCGTCTGCACCACGGCCTCGCGCCAGCCCCGTTCCCTATCTATTCACGCCCCGTGCTCTCTCTGCACGCGGCGGCTTCCGCGAGTAACACAGCGTAGCTTACGTGTCCGCCACTAGCATTCAATCTAAGTTCCCCGGGCTAGCCTGGCGAATTCAACCCAGCATACGTCTCCGCCCCACGGTTTGGCTTCCCGTCCTTTGCTCCCCGGGCTAATCAGACGGATCCCAATCTGGCTTACGTTTCAGCTTCTGGTTTCAACTTTTCGCCCCCCATTCCCGGGCTAACTTGAGAACCCCAAAGTGGCTTTCGTGTCCGCCTTGGCCTGCCCCCCACGGCTTCAATTTCCCTAACATTTTTCTCTACCCGGTATGTTTCCCCAAACTTTCCTCCAACGATATTCCTCCCTCATTTCTCCTGGCCTCTCCCCACAGTCCGCGTCCGAGTCTGTTTGTTCTAGCTTTCACTTTCGCTTTCGACCTTAGAGATTTCTCCCAGCTTCCCCCCGTAGTCCGTATCTGAGTCTATGCCTAGGCTTTCAATAGCTTCTTCCGGCACCTTTTTCGTCCGGCTTTTCCCTAGGCTGTTTGCTAGTCTCTCTCTCCGGTAATTTCCCTAGGCTGTTTGCTAGTTTCTCTCTCCGATATTTTCCCTAGTTCTTCCCGTTTCTTCCCTCCTAAGTTTTTTATCCGTCCTAGGTTTCCTATCCAAGCTAGGTTTCCTATCCGAGTCACGGCACCATTATGTCGCTCCCCCTCTTCGTGGAGGAACGACACTAAACCCTGCCTAGGCTTCATATCCGAGTCACGGCACCATTATGTCGCTCCCCCTCTTCGTGGAGGAACGACACAGGACCCTGCGCTGTTCTTTCGTCTGCTCGGCCCTCCCCGGGTTTGCTGCTGGTTCTTCCCGGGTTGGCTACTATCCCTTCCACCTCCGTGGAAGGGCAGTTCCCCCTGGCCGCATTCCCCACTTCCGCAGGGGAGCGGCACACCGCCGGCCGGCTTTCTCGGGGGCTGCACGGGTTCCCTTAGATGTTCCCCATAGATGTTCCCTGGTGCATGCCGTCTCTCTCCTCCTTTATAGTCCTCCTCCGCCAATCCCAACTCGGCTGCCCACACGCCGAGTACGCTGCTCTCCTCCAATCAGTAGCAAGTCCTACAGTTTATTAGTTGAACTGGAGGCAGCTGTGCGGAAGCTGTTTACTTCTCTCCCAGCGCCATATTGTGGGAGAGCAGATGCATAGAATAAGTCTTAATTCCAGTAACTCAGTCTAGTCCGGTTGCTCCCCACACTAGGCTTTCCTTTCTGTTAATATAAAGGTCCCAGATTAACACCAGAATACGGCTAGAAGCTGAAAAGGCTCAGAAATAAGACAATGAAAAATAAAGATTGTTGAACCAACATTACAAACTTAAACAATATGCATGAGAGTGATACCATAAACAAAGACAGGCAATACTAGACCAGAAAAGACACAATGAACTACAAACAAACCAACCAACCATACTATTAATTCAGTGATGTGCAATGGAAGGATTTTCCTTTTGGGAGATGGACACACCAATAACAGGTATTTGTAGTGTATTTGTAGTTGAGCATTTGTTGATATCTGCAACCCACATTGGAGTGTCTAGATTCGAGTCCTGACTTTATTCCTGACTCCAGCTTCCTGATAATCTATACCCTGGAAGGCAGCGGGTGATTGCTTAAATGGTTGGGTCCCTGTCACCCATTTGGGAGATTGAGTTCCTGGTTCCCTACTTCTGCCTGGCCCAGCCCTGGTGGTTACAGGCATTTGGGAAGTGAACCAGTGGATGGAATATATCTCTCCTCCCTTCTCCTCTACTCACCTCCCCTCTCCTCCCTCTTCCCCTCCTCTCCCTCCCTCCCTTTCTCTGCCTTTCAAATAAATAAAAATGTGCAAATAAATGCAAATAAAAAACAAGCAAACAAAAACCATAGTGCTGTTCACGACTGACAAATTATTATTTTCTCTGTCTGCCTGAAAGACAGCCAAGGTGATGGGTAGTGCAGGCAGATGTCCACACACAGTGCAATCAATTAATTCCTCACAAACCTGAAGAGAAAATGCTGAGTACACCATCTCAGTAAGAGTCCTATATTTACCAGGCAATACACCCATTAGTAGCTTACCAGTTACCCAGAAGATACACAGTCAAAGGAGATGGCTCAAAGGCCAGCCTTTCTCCCGCTCACCGCCTCTGCCTGGCCATGCCTCATGAGGGAGCAGGAGCCGCAATACTGGAGGACACAAGCCCCACCATGATTCTTGGTCATCAGACTGGCAAAGGGAACTATGCTTACTTGGATATCACAGGAGAAGATGGCCTCTCGGAAATTCCTTTTGGAAAGTCACATCTTCTCAGAGGGGATCCATGGCCACTGGTGGGAACCGAAGTTGTCACTCGTTGCCCTCTCTTCACCTTGTCCACCTGTACGGGACAAAGAACAGGACAGTCATGTCCCATGACTGATAGTACTTTCAAAATTTTTAACAATACTCCCAATGAAAATGGTGCTTAGCTTTTTAAAAAAAGATTTATTTTTATTTATTTGAAAGTCAGAGTTACACAGATAGAGAAGAAGAGGCAGAGAGAGAGAGGGGGGTCTTTCATCTGCTGGTTCACTCCCCAACTGGCTGTAATGGCCAGAGCTGTGCTGATCTGAAGCCAGGAGCCAGGAGCTTCTTCCAAGTCTCCCACGTGGGTGCAGGGACCCAAGCACTTGGGCCATCTTGTACTGCTTTCCCAGGTCATAACAGAGAGCTGAATAGGAAGTGAAGCAGCCAGGACTTGAACTGGTACCCATAGGGGATGCTGGCACTGCAGGCGGCGGCTTCACCTGCTACACCACAGCGCTGGCCCACTTAGCTTCCTTTTATAGGTCTCCATATGAAGCTTCACATAATGGGGAACTTTGCAGGGAGGCACCATGGGGTCATCACATTATGTTATCCAGTTAAATTCTTTTGAGCCTCAAACTGAAAAGATTTCCTTCTCCTTGTTATACTGCAAAGAACTAACAAAAGAACCATATTGTGGTCCAAGAAATATAGGAACTAGAAAAAATACAAAGAGATACAATCCTTACCATGAAAATTACAGATGGGTGAAAGTGTGGTTATAACATGCAAGACAATGAGTGAGCTGTGCACCCTGATTAGCACACATGATATAATGAGGACTCTAAGTCCACCCATTCCTGTCTTTCCCGTTGCCTCCCTCAGCAGAAGGCAGAAGGTCATGGGCATCAGTGCCTGGCCTGAAAAGGCATTCCACATAGCTAGTCCCCTTCCCTCTCTACTGCAGCAGCTTAAGCTGCCACCTGTAGTGCCAGTATCCCATAAGGGCACCGGGTTGAATCCTGGCTGCTCCACTTCCAGTCCAGCTCCCTGCAAATGCAGCTGGGAAAGCAGAAGATGGCTCAAGTGCTTGAGCCCCTGCTGCCAACATGGGAGATCCTGATGAAGCTGCTAGCTTCAGCCCGGTCTAGCCCTGGCCATTGCAGCCATTTGGGAATAAACCAGAGGATGGAAGCTCCATTTCTTCCTTTCTTTCTCTGTAACTATGCCTTTCAAATAAATAAACAAATCTTAAAAAAAAAAAAAACTTTAATTGATCCCACATCCACTTCCACAGCCCCTTTTGGCATCTTTCTATCCTACAATAAAATCTAAGAGTCAGAATATTCACTCCTCTTTGAAGAGCTGCAGGCCCACAATGGAAAAAAATGGTATTATAAAATGCTCAATAGTACAGTGATACACAGAAGTTTAAAAATAAGTCCACGTGTTATTTAATACTTCTCACTTCAAGAAGCAGAGTTTAATTCTTCTCCCCTTGAGTGTAGGCTGATCTTAGTGACTTGTTTTTAATAGCATGTGGCAGATGTGACAGGTTGGGCAAAAACAAAAACAAAAACAAAAACAAAAGGCATTACTGCTTCTCCCACATATTCCTTTCTTGAATCGCTTGCTCTGGGGGAAGACAGTTGTCAAGTCACTTGGACACTCAAGAAGTTTTATGGAAGGCCCATCCAGGCACTAACTGAAGCTTCTTGCCAACAGCCATTTGAGTGAGCATCTCAGAGGAGGCCCAGTCAAGCTTCAGGTGCTGGATGCAGCCCTGGGTCAACATCTTGACCACACCCTCATGAAAGACCCTGTACCAGAAGTCTCCAGTTAGGTCACTCAATTTCTGAACCAAAGAGCCTATGAGAAAGTGTTTGTTGCTTAAATCTGCCAAGGTTTGGAGTAATCTGTTATGTAGCAACTGATAACAAAAGTAGTTATGGCACACAGAATTTCTAAGTATGCATACTTGTATACATAATTGGAGGTACTTGTTCAACATCTATTTTACCTGACAGTGTCAGCATTTCACCAAAACTTTTTTTTTTAATTTTAATTTTAATTTATTTTTTGACAGGCAGAGTGGACAGTGAGAGAGAGAGACAGAGAAAAAGGTCTTCCTTTGCCGTTGGTTCACCCTCCAATGGCCGTCGCGGCCAGCACACTGTGGCCGGCACACCGCGCTGATCCAATGGCAGGAGCCAGGTACTTATCCTGGTCTCCCATGGGGTGCAGGGCCCAAGGACTTGGGCCATCCTCCACTGCACTCCCTGGCCACAGCAGAGAGCTGGCCTGGAAGAGGGGCAACCGGGACAGAATCCGGCGCCCCGACCGGGACTAGAACCCGGTGTGCCAGCACCGCAAGGTGGAGGATTAGCCTAATGAGCCGCGGCACAGGCTTCCAAAACTTCTTTAAAAAGCTTATTTATTTGGAAGGCAGAGTGACATAAAGAAAGGGGGAGAGAAAGAGATTTTCCATCTGCTGGTTCACTCCCCATATAAACCACAATCCAGAAGGGTGAGTAGGTGATTTAAACCTTACCGGGAAGGCCTCTGCTCCCGCGGGGGCTCCTTTCTCAGCATCTCCAACGCCAGATGTATATACAGCCTTCTTCTCAATTGTTCGAGTGGGAGAATATTTGTAAGAAGATTTTAAAGGGCCAGCAGGAGCTAAACGAGGACAGGTAGGGAACACTAGAGAGTTACAGTAAAGCAGCCAGAAAGACAGGGAGTGCAGACGGAAAAAGTAGGGGTAGTTGGGAAGAACATCAGCACTTTATTAAAATGTGACATGAGCAATCCATATTCTCCAAATCCTGTACTTTTTCTATTGCATATGATAGAAATTAATCTTATCCTAAAAAGGCTCCCAATACTAAAGTCAAGTTCATTTCAAGGGTAAAAATCTTTTGCTTTGGAGCCAAACAGACCTAGCACTGTCACATCATAACTGGATCACTTTGAACAGGTTATTTAACTTCTCTAAATCTCAATTTCCTTGAGAAGGAAAACTTCACACAGCAGGCCTGAATATTCTCCTTGGCAAGGTCTGCTTACAAGGCTGGCCCTTGACTGGCATATAGGAACTTCCATTTTGGAAGGCTTCCACTATTAACTGGTAAGTGCCTAAACTGCTGGTGTAAATAAATGGTTTATGCTGAATACCTGCTTTCCTTCTGGGAGTCTGGAATTTAGATATGTGCCTAGCAGCAGGGCCCACATGGCCAGCTCTGAGTAAAACCCCTGGGCGCTGAGTCTCTAATGAGCTTCCTCAGTTAGTGACTGTCCACACACATCACAGTTCGTTGCTGGAGAATTAAGCATGTCTTATGTGCCTTTTCTGGGAGAGGCTTCTGGGAAACTTGTACCTGATTTCCTCTGGACTTAGCTCCATGTGCCTTTTCCTTTTGCTGTATATCCTTCTGCTATAATTCATAGCCACGAGTGTGACTATGGTGAGTTGTCTGAGCACTCCTAGTGAACCATCAAACCCTGGGAAGAGGGGTCTTGAGGAATCACTTACACAAACGATGTCAGGAGAGTGAATCACTAGAAATGATCCTAGAGAATTATTTGGGAAAAGAAATGATAAAGGGGCAGAGAACAATGAACCTGTGGTGCATGGGTGCCTAGAGTCATCTATGGTATAAAATGGAAGCCTATTTACTGTCTGTTTTGAGAGGTAAAATTAGCTACGGAACTTGAGGGTATCTGATGAAACTCCAAGAGACTTGGTTCAAGGGATTCACTGGTTGACTGGCAATGCTAGATAAAATGAGCAAAAAGTGCAGTCCACGTAATGCCCTTGGTTTTTGTTTTGTCCTCCAAGCGGGACACACCCTCTTGGCTTTTTGCCATCAGTGGGTGGGTTGGAAGTTAAACTCCCGAGTATTACAACCCAAAGTTTCCATAACTGATAATATTTTTTGATGACTCTGGCCTAATAGAACCTCTAGAAAAAGGAAGATATGAAAAGTCAGGCAATTTCCAGGCAGAGATATACTTTGAATTTTAAAAATCAACTAGGGACCACTGCAGATATAGAACACCTCTCCACAGGCCCGTAAACTGTGAAAACATCCTGGATGCTGCTGAACTGTCCAGGCCACATGTAAGTGTTCACAGGAAAGGGCTTGCCTTCTGATGGAATCATCAGAAATCAAGATGCTCACTGGTTCTGTATTTCTGATGCAGATCCTCATTATATTCCCAGCTTGCAATTCTTGGAACAGCTGCAAATTAGGCAAGGAACATCGCAGGCAATGCAATCCCTTTATGCACTCCTCACAGACTGAACTCCACCCTTTCTGAGGAGCATGTCCCTGCTGCTGACATCTTGTGTCTGACTTTTTTGAGTGGTTGCAGTTTATAACAACGGACTAAGAGTCCAGCTCTACTTTCTGTATCACTGGATCAGGTTGAAAGGAATGGAAAGTGATTAAAATCTATTTTGAAACGTTTTGAAACTTTGGGATTTTGTTCTAATATTTAAATATGGCATGTTTTGCCAGCGTTTGTTAATCTCAACATACTGATTTGATCCACTTTGGTAAAGGAAGGGCTTCGATGGTATGGTCCAGTGTTTCTCAGACTTCCGTGTGCAGGTCTGAAAGCAAGTCGTCCTAGCAAGCTAAGCTCTGAGAGGGTGCCACCACTGCTGTCTCACAGATCACTATGAGTAAGAAGGCTCTAGACCTTTGCTGAGCTCTTACTCTGGGCCAATCATTGTGTTATCTCATTTACATACATTAGATAATTTAATCTTCACAATAATTTAAAATAACTCTATTTTACAGATGAGCAAAAGACTTAGAGAAGTTAATTAACTTACTGAAACTGGTAAAAGCTTTGAATGGTTCAGTTGTCTATGGGACTTCAGAGACTGGTCTAAAGGCTACACAGCCAAATAATTTAAGAAAAATATACTAACTTCCACAGCTTATCAAGTGAATTTTTCCTCTAATATACATGCCCTCAAGTCACAAAAGAGTTTACTCACCTTTGAGACACTTAAAAGAAATGGTAACAGCAAAAATACTGCTGGGTAAAAAATGTTATTAATCACTGAAGACATTTCACAAAGCCAGAAAATGGGAAGCAAAAGAAAAAACTGAGGAATAAATCCCAGGCCCACCAACACCACTTTGGGGATTTTCCTTGGTGTCACCAGCTTAGCCTCTTTTACCTGAATCACTGGCCTGCTCAGAGAACATGAGTGTACTTCTGCTTCTGGCTAAAGAAGCCTGTGTGGGTGTCAACAGTCGCATAACAAGAAAGCTTTCCATGGAACTAAGGTGCATGCGATGAGCTAAGGGACGGAATCAAATGAAAATTTTAAAAAGCAAAATAAAAATAAAACAAAATGTTTAAATGATATAGTGCAAGATGCAAATTAAATTTGAGGTTGCAAAACAAGTGTGGAAAATAAAAATATCTTAATGAAGGATGGCTATGGAGTCTGACATAGTAAAAGAAGACAAATGATATGTTATTTAGAGTTTGGGAGAGTGCACTAATTCTCTTGGGATGCTAGAATCCATACAATACGCTATTAAAGTACAGTGACCTGTATCAATCAAAGAGAATTAGCCCACTTCCCAAGATGTAATCCAGACTCATGAAACCACTTACTCACCAACCAGATCTAACATTGAAAAAAAAAAAAAAGATTATACCTACAAAACCCTTATTTTAGGTCCTCTGTTAATAAATATTTATAACACAAAATTCTAAAATGAAATGTGTCATCTTATAATAGCATCAAAATACACTCTTTCATACTTTTCCCATGTAAATAAGGGCAAAAAATGAGACGCACAGAACTAGTAACAGCCAACTGATTATAAGCCTTAGTGGAAGATAGTAATATTCCTAATTTAAAATTCAATGACCAAAATATTTGGATGGCTTTGGAATGTATTATATGGCAACAGATTAACTTTTCCATTACTATGTTTTTTTTGAGTGCCTATTAACTAGCAAATAGTTGAGGATTAAGATTTTTCAATTTATCATCCACAAGTAGATAATTCAGTTTTCAATAATATTTAACAGCATCGTTTTTCCATAGTAATTAATGAAAAATGAATTTAATGTCAATCTTTAACCATGTGTTAATGAAAATATCTGGCATACACTCATTAATGGAATATAGAGTTAAGAGTATGTAGGTGCTTTCTCATCCAGCTTTTAATTACTTCAAGGTTCCCTGCATTTACTTATGAAGTGCATTTGAGATCAGCAGCATTGTGACATTCACAGAATATCTGACATACATGTCATGCCTCTGGCTGGGATGAAGGGGCAAGGGCAGTGCCAGTGAACAACCACCAGGAAGAAACGCAGGCCTCTTCCAAGTCACAAACATCCCCCTGTGTGCCCTTGGTGACAGCTTCATTTGCTAAGTTTTCCACTGGCACGTGATACTCCTTTGGTGATACTTTAAAAATATATTTAATGGTAGGAAAGCTTTCCGCCGTTCCTTAACCTACATACTCAGAAAGGGATAAATCCAGACTTTCAGTTACTTATCTGAGCCTCCACTGGAACACAAATCTATTCAAGGTTCTGAACTGGCACATGTCCTATTCTCATCATGTCCTTCCTCAAAACAGAGTGCCTAAAATGGCCACCTATCTTTGTCCTCCTCTAGAGGCCTTATATTAGTTTTGTGCTTGTGTTTTCATCTACAAAACAGCTACAAACCACAGGCAATATCCCCAATTTTTCACGTATCTTTATCTCCCATGTAACTGACTCATAAATTCTGCTCATTCTGGCTAATCAACTATATTTTGCCACTGACCAGCTACTTTATTAACAGTCACACCTCCCCACTGCTTAATGAATTCCTGGGCAGGATAACTCCTAAATGCACTGTGGAAAGTAGAACTGTCTCTTCAGACTGAGAGAGTATCACTATTTACTGTCCTTATTTAACAATGACCTGGATCTAAGGAGCGATGCCACTTTCCAAAGTTCTATTTGTGAGACCCTGGGCTCCCACATTCAAACCACAAGGGTGGTATCTGCAGAAAGCTCAAGAGAGGGCTCTCACAAAAGCCAACGTTAAGACGCTAATACCAAGCAAACTGGAGAGACCAGGTCTACACGTGCACTTGCCTCGGTCTGGGGAATAGGATATTGCCGCAGTGGATGAAGACAGGCGCTTACTCATGGGAGGCTCCGTCTGCTTTGGCAAATTCATAGTTGATGTTGAAAGTTTGTCACATGCTGCAGAGAAACGCATTGAAAACATTGATACTCGTAGCACTGTGGACTGAGAAACACACATCTCCAAGTGTCCTTCCTGTCCTCATCCAGACACTCTCTAACCACCATGGCACAGCACACTCTGCTTCCACCATATCTGTCCCCTGGTGTGCAGCAAGATCTCTAATTTCTCCACTGTGTAAATCTCTTCGATTTCAAATGTTCAACCTTGCTCAAGAGGTCAACTGAAGACATGCTAATCCCACCAGCAAATCATTCCCTTGTATCCAAGGATTTTTGAATATATTAACAATACACAAAAATGAAACTAACTTGGACCCAGAGATAAATAACGGAAAACATTCTATAGCCTGAGTCTGTGTGCTGAAACTGAACTTTTCCTGTAGGTTATCTATTTGTAGCTCAGGTTGGAGAGAGATGTAATTTGTAATGCAAGCAGCTGTATTTACAATAGAATGACCTTTAGCAGTTGGTTTTCCTTCTCTTATAAAAGATGGGGTTGGGGCCAGCGCTGTAGCATAGCAGGTAAAGCCACTGCCTACAGTGCTGACATCCCATGTGGGCACAGGTTTGAGTCCTGGCTGTTCCACATCCCATCCAGCTCCTTGCTAATGCACTTGGGAAAGCGGCAGAAGATGGCCCAAGTCCTTGGACCCCTGTACCCATGTGGAAGACCTGAAAGAAATTCCTGGCTCCTGGCTTTGAATTGGCACAGCTCCAGGTGGCCATTTGGAGGGAGTGAACAAGCGGATGGAAGACCTCTCCCCGCCCCTGCCTCTGCCTCTCTGTAACTCTGCTTTTCAAACAAATACATAAATCTTAAAAAAAATGATGTCATGAATTTAACATTCCTACTTTTCAATTTTCCAATATTTTTAACTACTTTGATGTTCTGGGGAAAAATTAATCATTAGAAATGACACAAAAATATGTATAAAGGAATGCACATTTTCCCTTTTGACTCAGGTTCTGATCTGCACAGGATTGGTCTGCTGAAATTCAGTACTTTGTTACTGGTTGTTTTGCATTAACTTTTTGAAAAATATCACACCAAATTTATTTGATCTGGATTACTGTACTTTTGCTGCCTCCTTAAGCACTCACCTCACCCTGTTCCAGCCAGCAATTCTACTCTACCTGCACTCCTCTGTAGGGGAAATCCAGGGCTGACACTATATTTAACTTGGCCATGCAGTAAAATCTGATCCTAAACAAATTATTCTTTGTCAAAGGAATGCCAGAAACTAAGGATATTTATTCTCACTGCCAATATGACCCACATTGCTGGTAAATACTGCATTCCTAATTTTACATGTTATTTTCTCATTGCCAGCTGAAGATGTGTTGCATTTCTAAAGTCATTATTAAATAGGAACAAAGTTTTGCCAGTTCTGTCCTTGATGTAGACCTTAAGAACTTCCCAGGTCTGTATCCAAAACAGATAGCCTATTAGAGAGATGAAATCAAATACAAAGCCAAATTATCTAATTATTGAATTCCCAGTGTTAGTAGTGATAGTCTCCCTATCACTCCCTCTCAAACACTTCTTCATTCATTACATTAACACCAAGCCCATGTATTCCATTCAGAACTCTGTGATGACAAGTTTTGGTAACCAGAAGTGATGGGAATGTCCTACTACTTAATGCTTAAGACAGATGATTAGTGAGATTATTAAAGAGCTAAATATATAAAAATCAAATACTGACAAGATTTTTCCAGGCAGAAATTATCGAGCTGAGGATGAAATGTCTCCAGGGCACTAAGATGTAAAGCATGCACAGCTCCATAATGACAGAAGAACAAAGAAATATGGGCATGTCATTGACATTTCTAGAAAAAAGTTTTAAGAGATCAGACCAAGAAACCAACTGTATAAGTGCTTTAGGCAGACACAGAGATGAAAGAGGGTGATCAGAACAGTTAGCACAAAACGCCGTGGCACGGTGATGCTGGGATATACCGTTGGCGGACTCGGCAGCGGTGGCAGTAGTCCCTGCATCCGGAGAGGCAGTGCTGGCTGCTAAGCCTAGAGGAGGGGGTGGGGTATTTTCTGATTCACCTACACAGCAAAAAATCAGAGCAAAGAGAGGTAAAAGAAAAATGTTCCAATTTGTTGTTGTATTTTAGTTTCTAATTAGCAAACTAGAAAAGTAACTGAAATGGATTGTTAACTTCTCAAAGAAGAAGAACTAAAGTCTTTTCACTGCCAAAAGGTTAAAAGCACAATTCAGCAAAGTAAAAGAACTGGACTCTAAACATTTGCTCTCAGAAAGAGCTAGTATATAACTCCTGCATAATACAATGCTGAGATCACTGAAATGTAGTCAAACACTGAAAAGAGGAAAAAGCCACACAGAAACTACTTACAGTAAATTAAACATTTGAAAATTTAAAGATGAGTATGAACTGGATAATGAATAAATAAGTCACCTTCAAAACAAAAATCAAAAGAGCAACAGAAATTCTTAATGAGAAAGGAAAAAGCCTATTCCCTGCTCTGCTGTTTCTGGTCATGGCTGGAGCGGTGACTGAGCCTCCTGCCATTTCCTTTCCCTGAAATCAGATCACCCCTGGGTTTGCCCACTGAGTAACCAGGTTCTGCATTCACTTTCTTTACATTTTTTTCTTTGTTTTGGCTCAACCTCAAAGCCCAGTAATTATATCAACCACTGTTTGCTAGCAAGAAGAAATGCATAGTTCCTCTTTATAGAAATGTATACACAGGAGGCTTGGCAGTTTTAAATATCACACCTGAAAATGATACTGTAGAACTGTATAAAAGCATCCCCCAGACCCGAGCTGTGCCCATGGTCTCCACACCAGGGTCCTGCAATGCAGGGATAGCCCTGAACTTACCATCACGTCCTCCAGGCCCTGCAGCCAGGGATGTTCCCCACGAGCACTTCTTCTTCAGCTCCAGCTGCTGTGTGCGCTCCAGGGACCGGCGCATCATCGCCTCCAGCCGCTCCTGCCCAGTTCACACCAAGCGTCAGTGTCAGCGAAGAACAAGCTCGATCACCCAGCCCCAGCACTGCACTGCTGCCTCTGCGCAGGATGAGTCACCACATGAAGCTTTCTGTGCTCAGCCTCCAAACCCAGGCACACGTGCTCCCTCTGCTACACCAGCGCCTTTTCTTAGTGGATGGAGAATAAACAATGCAGTTAGGCTAGCCACTGCTCCTCAATGTGAACACTGTGTCCTGGTCCTGTCCTTTCCCCGCTCTCTGTCCCCTCCCTCCCTAGGGAGAAGCTTCCGCTGAGCCAGGCCTTGATTTGTTTAAGAATAAAGCTGGACAAGCATTAACTCCTTGAGGCCTGTCTCAAGCCAGTTTTGCACCATTCAGCAGAACTGGCATTTTGCTCCAAAATGAACTGCATCCCTTCTAGGTGAAAGCCCAGAACATTCTTATCTGAGAAAATTTAAATTAAAATATAGTTTCAGTTTTTATAGCCTTAAACCTAACTTTTTTGGTGATACTAACTTTGAAATCTATTTTGCAAAGCCCTATTTTCATCTTAGAACTTCTTAAAGGGGAATCAATTGTTTTATATATTGTAACATTTTTCTGCCATAGTTTTCTGGGGATGACACTGCACATTTCAAAATTTAAAAGATACATGAGTACAGAACATTCTGGCCACAAAATAAAGCATTCATGCTTTCCAGAGTTGGGTAGGTTTGAGGACTGAAGGAAGAACCAAACAATCTTAATCAGAAGAGAAAAACAACAATCAAGCTTGCTTTTTAACAGGAATTATCGAAAGCACTCTTGTATTAGCCAAATCGTTACTTTCATAAAGTTGTCCTTGGCCCGGGAGTGAAGGTGCTCTAATTCTGCATTCCCACCCCCTAATGACACTGCAAATACCAGCTCCTCTCTGGGCCTCCACTAGAGAAGGCCTGAAGCAGGGCTAGCAGCTTCACTGACACCACTTAGTCTTCATAAAACCCAATCCTGGGGCCAGCGTTGTGATGCAGCAGGTTAAACCTTGACCTGCAATGCCAGGCAGCCCATGAGCACCAGTTTGAGTCCCAGATCTCTCCTCTCTCGCCTCTCTTCTCTCTTTCCCTTTTTCTTCATAACTCTGCCTTTCAAATAAAAAAAATCTTTAAAAAAAAATCCCGAGGTGCTACAGAACTGGGCTAATTCTGGCCTGACTCTGAAACAAAAAGCTACAACTTGCTCAAGGCTTCAAAAACTAACCAAGCCAAGTTAATTTAGGACAATATCAACTAGGTAACCATGACTTAAGGACAGGAAAAGGCTCTTTCATTTCAGTTACTAGAAACACATACAGGCCACTCATCAGGTATCTGCATTGTCTGGGTTTACCCCCCCCCCTTTTTTTTTTTTTTTTTGACAGGCAGAGTGGACAGTGAGAGAGAGAGAGAGACAGAGAGAAAGGTTTTCCTTTGCCGTTGGTTCACCCTCCAATGGCCGCCGCGGCCGCCGCGCTGCGGCCGGCGCACCGCGCTGATCCGATGGCAGGAGCCAGGAGCCAGGTGCTTTTCCTGGTCTCCCATGGGGTGCAGGGCCCAAGCACCTGGGCCATCCTCCACTGCACTCCTGGGCCACAGCAGAGAGCTGGCCTGGAAGAGGGGCAACCGGGACAGAATCCGGCGCCCCGACCGGGACTAGAACCTGGTGTGCCGGCGCCGCTAGGCGGAGGATTAGCCTAGTGAGCCACGGCGCCGGCCTGGGTTTACCCCTTTTATCTACACTAGAAGGATAAGATGAACATTTTTGCATAATTTTCCTCTGAACAGCACTTTGCTAAAAGACTTTTGCCAAGCGTTGCCCAGGAGCTTGTGAGCAGGAAGGGGAATTTTTCCCTCTTTGGTAAGTCTCAGATTTCTATTGGCTATTACCTGTGCTCTAGTTTTGGGCTGAAGAACCTACCATGAGTTTGCATTTCCTGGCAGGGTCCTCTCCTCAAGATCCTGGCCCATTAAATTCTGATGACCAACCCCGGTTGTCTACCAGACAAAAGTTATGATCTGGGGGCCTGTGTTGTGGCACAGTGGGTCAAGCTGTCTGTGGTACCAGAATCCCATGTAAGCACCAGTTACAGTTGTGGCTGCTCTACTTCCAATCTAGCTCCCGGATAATGGGCCTGCAAAAGTAGTGGAAGATGGCCCAAGTGCTTAGGCCTACACCCACGGGAGACACTTGGATAGAGTTCCAGGCTCCTGCTTTGGTCCAGCCTAGTTCTGGCCATTGTGGCAATTTGGGGAGTGAACCAACTGATCAAAGATATCCCTCTCTTTCCTTCCCCCTCTTCTCTCTGTAACTCTGCCTTTCAAACAAATAAATAAATTTTTTAAAAAAGTGAAAATAAGAAAAAGTTAGAGCTTAGAGTAAACAGAACTTCTCCACCATTTGATGCCTGAAGTAGGGTCACTCAAGACTGGAGCAGAATGGTACTTCATTATATGGATTTAACATAAAAGTATTTAATGAATGGCCTAATACAAATGTTGAAATCCTTCACCCTGGAATGGTTTTAGCATGGGGTAGTTTATGCTCAATTTCCTATGTGCCAGATGGACCTCACAAGATAGTCCTTCATCTATGAGGAAATCAATGAGAACAAAGACTGAAATTCATGAAGCCAGTCTTACCACTGAGTAGCTTCATATCTAAGGGGTTAAATACAATCATTTTGTATCACCTACTTCTGGACAGATGATGAAAAACAAGTGGTAACCAAGCTCTAAGAGAAGGGACTTAGGGAACCCAAAGAAGTCAGAATGGGGTGATTCAAACTCATCTAAAATAAACCTTCCCTACACTCCTATTAGAGGCCAGTTCACTATAGGTCAGTATTGCTTAATGTTTATACCTTTCTGTCTGTGCATGTGATGAAATGAAATATTTATAGATTTAGAGTCAGAAGATCAGATTCAAATTCTATCTCTGTCTGCCACTTTTTTGCCCATAACTTTGATGTAGTCATTTTACACTCTTCAGCTGCAGTTTTCCCACCTATAAAATGGGATGATACATAGATACTTCGAAAAGTGAATTTAGGGGCCGGCACTGTGGCATAGCAGGTAAAGCTGCTGCCTGCAGTGCCAGTATCCCATATGGGTGCCGGTTCATGTCCCGGTTGCTCCTCTTCTGATCCAGCTCTCTGCTATGGCCTGGGAAAGCAGTAGAAGATGGCCCAAGTCCTTGGGCCCTTGCACCCACGTGGGAGACCCGGAGGAAGCCCCTGGCTCCTGGCTTTGGATTGGCGTGGCTCCGGCCATTGCGGCCAATTGGGGAGTGAACAAGCAGATGGAAGACCTCTCTCTCCTGCCTCTCCTTCTCTCTCTGTGTAACTCTGACTTTCAAGTAAAATAAATAAATCTTTTTAAAAAAAAAGTGAATTTAAAAGATACTGTGCATTTTCCATGAACTTTCTGAAGACCCCACATAGTACTTGCACCACCAGATCACTCTAAGGCTCTGCACAGTACCTGATGTGTTCAGGCCCTAAACCAATGCTAATTGAATCTGAAGAGAAGGATTAAGAAAGACAGTTTAGAGTAGTGGTTCTCAAACCTGAACATGCATATATCAGAATCCCATGGAGGGCTTGTTAAAACAAATTCTTGGCCGGCGCCGCGGCTCACTAGGCTAATCCTCCACCTAGCGGTGCCGGCACACCGGGTTCTAGTCCCGGTCGGGGCGCCAGATTCTGTCCCGGTTGCCCCTCTTCCAGGCCAGCTCTCTGCTGTGGCCAGGGAGTGCAGTGGAGGATGGCCCAGGTGCTTGGGCCCTGCACCCCATGGGAGACCAGGATAATAAATACCTGGCTCCTGCCTTCGGATCAGCGTAGTGCGCCCACCGGAGCGCGCTGGCCACGGCGGCCATTGGAGGGTGAACCAACGGCAAAGGAAGACCTTTCTCTCTGTCTCTCTCTCTCACTGTCCACTCTGCCTGTCAAAAAATTAAAAAAAAAAAAACAGATTCTTGGAACTGAAAGATCTCCGCAATGAAAATTATCAAACATTGATGGAAGAAATCATCAAGGACATACAAAAAAGATCTTCCTTGTTCATAAATTGGAAGAATCAATATAATTAAAATGTCTATACTACCTAATGCAATCTACAGATTCAATGTAATACCTATCAAAATACCAGTGACATTTTTTACAGAATTAGAAAACACAATCCTAAAATGCATATGGAATCACAAAAGATCCAGAATAGACAGGGTGATCCTGAGCAAGAAAAATCAAGCTGGAGGCATCACAACACCTGACTTCAAAGCATACTACAATGCTATAGCAAATAAAACAGCATGGTACTGGCATAAAAACAGACACATAGATCAATGGAACAGAACAGAGCACAAAAATTAATCCACTTTTGACAAAAGTGCCAGATCATGTATTAGATAAAGGATTATCTCTTCAAAAACTGGTACTGGCAAAACTGAATGTATCTATGTAGAAGAATGAAATTAGATTCACACCTCTCACCATATAAAAAAAGTCAACTCCAGATGGATCAATGACCTAAATTTATCACCTGAGACTATGAAGTTGCTGGAAGAAAATGTAAGGGAAACACTCCAAGACACTGGTGTAGGGGATGACTTCTTGGTCAAGACTCCCAAAGCACACACAAGCAACAAAAGCAGAAAAAAAAAAACCAAATGAGACTATATCAAACTCAGAAGCTTATACACAGCAAAGGAAATGATCAATAGAGTGAAGAGACAGACAACAGAATGGGAAAAAATATTTGAACTATCAATCTGACAATATCTAGAATATCTCAGCAACTTTAAAAGCTTAACAACAACAAAAAACAACCAATCCAGATAAGAAATGGACAAAGAACCTCAATAGACAATTCTCAAAAGAAGAAATACAAATGACCAACAAATATATGAAAAAATACTCAATATCACTAGCCATTAGGGAAATGTAAATCAAAATTACAATTAGATATTAGCTTACCCCTGTCAGAAT